GCTCAAGCTGTAGTGCGCTTGCCTGGCATGCGCGCCCACTGGGTTCGATCCTCAGCACCACATACAAACAAAGATGTTGTGTCCGCCGAAAACTAAAAAAAAATAAATAAATATTTTAAAAAATTCTCTCTCTCTCTCTCTCTCTCTCAAAAATTAAAAAAGAAGCCTTATACAATAGTTTAAAAAAATAAAAACAATTCTGTTATTTATTTTTATTAACAAATAAAAATTGTATATATTTGTGGTGCACCACATGATATTTTAAAATACATAAAAATTTTTAAAAATTTTTACTTTTTAGTTATAGGTGGACAAAATATCTTCATTTTATTTTTATGTGGTGCTGAGGATTGAACCCAGTGCCTCACGCATGCTACACAAGCGCCCTACCTCTGAGGCACAACCCCAGCCCATAAAATACATAATCACTTTTATTTTACAAAGTTATAATTGCTCTGTACATGTATTTTTTCAATAATTTCAGATTTTAAAAACATACAAAAGGTAAAAAGAAGAGTGCATAAATAAAAAGAATGCTGCATTTTGTAGGCATGTCATCTGCCAATAAAAAGTTAAAATACAGTAAAGGAAGGAAGAAAAGAAGGGAAAAAAAGAAGTCATGTACCATGGGTTGGATATGTTTGTTCCTCACAGGTTTGTGTGCTTGGTCCCCAGTGGGTTGATGTTGAGGTGATGAATCTTTAAGAGGGGGATCCATTGGAAGGTAATTAGGTCATGAGGTGCAGCCCCTGGAAGGGATTAATGTGAGTCTCATGGCTGGATTAGTTCCTATGAGAATCGGTTATTATAAGGGAGCCTGGCACCTCCCTTTCCTCTTCTGCATGTACCACTGCCACTCTCATACTCACTGCTGCCATTGTCATGCCATTTGGCATGAGGCCCTCACCAGAGATGAATAGATGCTGATGCCATGTCCTTAAACCTTCAGAACTGTGAGCTAGATAGACTTCTTTTCCTTTTAAAGTACCCAGCCTTAGGTATTTTATTATAGCAGCTGAAAATGGACTAAGACACTACTAAACAGAAACAATGTGCTGACAAACCTTCTAATCCTCCCATATTCACATATAAGAGTTAGTTCTCTTGCAATCCTAGATTCTACAAATGGACAAATTCTAAACCATCCTTAAGCCAGGCATGGTGACATGTCCCTGTAATCCCAGCAACTCTAGAGGCTGAAGTTCAAAGGAAGATCAAAAGTTCAAAGCTGGCCTCAGCAACTTAGTGAGAACCTCAGCAACTTAGAGAGACCCCATCTCAAATAAACAAAATAAAAAGGGCTGGGGGTGCTGGGGATGTGGCTCAAGCAGTAACGCGCTCGCCTGGCATGCACGGGGTGCTGGGTTCGATCCTCAGCACCACATACAAATGAAATAAAGATGTTGTGTCCACCGAAAAACTAAAAATAATAAATATTTAAAAATTCTCTCTCTCTCGCTCTTAAAAAAAAGCGGGGGAGGGGGGAGCTGGGCATGTGTCTCAGTTGTTAGCGCCCCTGGGTTCAATTCCCAGTACAAAAAAAAAAAAAACCCACCACCAAATCATCCTCAAATCACTTTTCTCCAGGCCCATTATGTATTTTTTAAATATGTTTTTAGTTATAGGGAGACACAATACCTTGGTTTTATTTATTTATATGTGGTGCTGAGGATTGACCCCAGATCCCCACACATACTAGGCGAGTGCTCTATTACTGAGCCACAACCCCAGTATTTTTTAAAGACATCACTAGCCTTACTCACTGGAACTACTAGTTATTGGCCACTCCAGCTAGGCCTCCAGTTTCTTGCCCTGCTCTCTCCATATACCCCTTCTTCCTAAAGCTTCCAGCCTGCATGTTATGACTGTCTTTTCTTCACACACCTTCTTTCTATCCAGTGTTGCTTCTAGCAACGTGGATTTTATTGTTGTTTTTGCTTTACAGAAATATGAAATATTTTAATTCTTTTCAAAATCACATACAGGGCTAGGGAGATAGTTCAGATGGTAGAGTGCTTGCCTCGCATGCATAAGGCCCTGAATTCAATCCCCACCAACACACACACACACACACACACACACAATAATACTACATATACTTTCAGTGATAAATTGCTATACAATAGCCACATCAATGTTTCTGATATTACTCTTACATTTTCTTCATCTCTGTTGAAATTTATACTGTTCTTACTGTGAATATGCTTATGTTGTTAAAATTTTGCATATTTTCAGTTCCATTTTAAATGACCATATCAAAGAATTGAATACCTTCCAAGGACCTGAAAAAAATTGAAACCATTCCCTGATTATTGGATACTTCATACACATAATTTTGTAAATTGCTTTTTGTATTCCCTTTTCTAAATCTTTCTAAATTCAGTGCATATATTTTCTACATTATATTAAGTATCTACATAGCATTTTATAATAAGGATGTAATTTTGTCATTTAAAAAATGGATACTGTAATTTTCCCTTTTGAATAATTAATATACTTCATACTGCAAAAATCAGGAAAAAGTGAAATGACATATAATGAAAAGACTCTCTCCTTTTTTCTTAGTCTGATCTCCCCAACAATATCTAACCTCCTTTCTTAGGATCTTATATGTCCTTCCGGATTTATTTAGGCAGATGCAAGCAAATGCAAATGTCATTTTCTACTTTTGTCTTTTTCTTTTACCAGAATGTAATCTATTACTTACACTGTTACTCATTTTGCTTTTTTGACTTAGTAACTTAAGCTTGGAGATCGTTCTAACTCAGTGCACAGAGTTTCCTCATTCTTTGCTCTACAGCTGCTTGGCTTCCTTCTGTATGGGCGCCATCCTTGACTTCCATATGATAGACACTGTGGTCGTCACTTTGACTACTGATCTCATCCCTCCCTATTATCTCCAAAACTTTGCCCCATCCTTTATCCACCACAGTTCTTTTTACTTGACCCTTATTCCAGTGTTGGGGTATAAACCCAGGGCCTTATGCATGATGGGCAAGAGCTCCACCACTGAGCTACATTTCCCCGATCAGCTTTTCTTTCTTTCTTAATTACAAGCATGTCAGGTCTCTTGTACATTAAAAGAAGACTTTCTCTTTACTCTGAGGTTGCTTAACCTCAAACCTCTAGACAGAGGTGCCTGCAGTCTCCATTCACAGCTTCCCTTTCACCACAAATTATTTCCTTAACGTTTTGTGATCTGTCCTCATCTTATCTATTAAAACTGATTTCTGGAAGGTCAACTAATAGCAGCATTCAGCAGCTTGACCTATTTCTCCGTTCTCATCCTTGTAACATCTGAAAATGGATACCTACCCTTTGCACACCCATGCACAACCTTAACCTCTTGTAAAACGGCTTCTGCCTGCCCTGCCACCTTCATGCTAATGCTGATCTCCAGTTAATCATCCATCCTGTTCATGGTCATTCCCCCAGTACCCTGGTCCTAGCTCACTTCTTTGACCCTCACCCCTGGTTCTTCTGTCAGCCCTGCCCCCAACCATTGTCTAGTCTTAGAGGTTTTATCTTTCCAGTGGTTTCGTTCCTATCCTCATCTATTATTCTATCCACTAATTCTAAATCAAATCCTAATTTCTGATTATCTGGACTACTAAATAGAGGTTCCTAATCTACCTTTGTTTCTCCAGTCTCTCTCCCACTCTAACTGAAAACAGCAGATCTTATATCATTCCCTTTTTCAAAACTCGTATTTCCATATCAATTAAGCACTAACTTCCTGATCTGACATTCAAGTCCTTTCACAATTTTAACTCAAGTTGACATGTATTGGCATTAGCCAGTGTTACTGAGCATACCATATCTTCTGGCCAAAAGTAATCTGCTGATTTTTTAATCAACACATGGTGTGTTTTTGGACCTCCAAGTTTGGTTGTATCTTTTTGTCCACATGTATAACACTTTCCCTCCGTCTCTGCTTTTCTAATCTCACTTGTCATATCTTTGCTAAACTTCTCCCAAATATAAAATAATTATTTGCACAGTAATCATATTTACATATTGGCTTCTAAATTCTGTTAAAACAAAATACTCCAGCTAGTGAGTTCTTCTATGTGAGAGGTGTGTGCTAAGTGATCCACATGAATCATCTCATTTAATCCTTGTATTGACATGCTTCAGCCAGGATGCTCCCCAATTAACAGTAAACAAAATGAGTCTGCAGAGATTAAACTATCTATGATCATTCTAATGATAGTGAAATCAGATTCTCCCTGAAATTCATTGCTTATTACTTATTGTAGCCAACCCAACTTACAACATCCACCACCTACATGAAATTCAATAGGTGCAAGTCCTATCAGCACGTTAAAAACGGTGTCTGCATGTAGACCAAGATTTAAAGAGGACCAGGTTGGGGGGATTGCGACAGTAATAAATTAGGATGGAAAGATTGATGACGATGTTTCCAAACCTCCACTATTGGGTTATAGGATTTTTGAAATAAGCATTTAAAAGACACAGTTGCACAGGATTGCATTTGCTCTTAAAGTCTCCGATTATTACCCGTTGGTTAGTTTTGTCTCCCTGGTTTTATTTTCATCCTTCTCAGGATTATCTCCATTCTCTTGCATTCCCACAGCTTTCGGAGCATTGCTCAACACACACAGTGCGTACTTGTTGATTTTAACGTATGTGTGTGTTTGCATGTGTGCACCGCAACTGGGAGGAGGGCGTGGGTGTGGAATGCAGTGCGCATTCCTCTTCCTCATTCTTTTTTCCTTGAGCAGCTGCAGTCTGGGATGCTTTCCTTCTCCAGGGAGGAGACAGAACCGCTGACCCTTTAACAAGTTGTCCCTCACAGAACAGGTGTCTCCCCCGCCTCTCGGAGGAGGGGGATGGCTGGATACTTAGTGACATCAACCATTGACCAATGAGAAGTCAGGCTTTGGCAGCCTCGCCAATGGGCGTCCGGGGGCCGGCCCAGTTTCCTGGGAGCCGGGCTGGCCGGGCTGGTCCTGCGGCGGCGGTGGAGTCTCCGTAGCTCACGCTGCCGGTGGTGGCTCCCGCGGCTCCCGGCGGCGCCGTTCCCTGCCCGCGCGACTCTGCGACGCACTGCTCCGGCGGCTCCCGCCGCGGCGAAGCTCCGGGGCTGCGCGGTTTCCCGCGGTGGCGCGGCTCATGTCCCCGGGCGCGGGGCGCGCAGGTGGGCCGGCCGCCGCTGGGAGATAGGCCCCCGGGGGCGGCCGCGGTGGACTATGGCACGGAGACCCAGGGCGCCGGCCCCCTACGGGGAGGAGTTCTCCTTCGTCAGCCCGCTGGTGAAATACCTGCTCTTCTTCTTCAACATGCTTTTCTGGGTGAGTCTTGGGGGTACCTGGGCGGCAGGGTACCCCTAGAGGTGCAGGGGTTGCCCGCAGCAGAGGAGGGGGCAGCTCGGGATGCCCGGTGACAAGCGAGCGTGGATAGTGGCATTGCCTAGTTTTCTGGATTTACGACACTTTGGGGGCATTTCTCCTGGGGAGGGACATTACATTGATGCCTCTTCAGGAAAGGGCGTGGGGAGGGGTGCAGAGGGTTCAGTAAGGACAAGGGGTCTATGGCAGGCCAAAACGGTGGGTTCAGGGGAGGAGCAGGTGTTCCTGTTGGTCAGGGCAGCCCCCCTGGCACATTCACGATTGGGGACTTTCAGGCCAACAGGCTGGGAGGCCCCGCTGGCAAAGAAGAGGGAGGAAAACCCCAAGCCTCAGCTCTTTACCTCAGGGAGGATGGGTCAAGGGGTTGCATCTCTTCCTTTTTGAGGCGTCTTCAGATGCCCCTTCCAACAAAGAAGAGAGAAGAATGGCCTCCAGGTCGGATGTCCTTCCCATCCCAGCACTGTCCCAAACTTTGCCCTATCCCTTTCAGGACGAGACGTGTCTTGGAGCCTGGACTCTTTAAATAGGACCTTGTGTTGGGCTTGAAGGCTAGGGATCCTTTCAGAACATTCTTGGGGTTGGAAAAAGTGGAAAAAATACCTGGATTGGGGCTCCAGGCTCCCAGGTTTCCATCCCCAGTGTGCCATCATCATTGTTGATTGAGCTGGGCAAATATGTTCAAGTCTGCAGGCCTTTGTTCCCTCTGCCATAAAATGAAACCCAGTGTGATTAGGGTTGGCAGAAATACTCTGCCAGAGCTGAGAATTCAGCTGGACCAGATAGCGAAATGCTAGCTCCATCCTGGTTCATGGCTAGAGAGTCCCTGAGCTCCTCTGGATTTTAGAACACAGAAAAGTCCTTTCCCCATTTCTCTGCCTGCTCCTATCACACCAGAGCTGCCACTCTGGGAGTGTGTCATCCTTGCCCACCTCAGCCTGAGACCTTTACTTTCAGATTTACAGGAGGGAAGAATTATGAGTCTAAAATATATTTCCTAGGAGAAGGAGCAGACCAGACATCTGAGCCAGCTGCTGGAAAGGTTTCACAGGGGCGGTGGTGTGAAGTACAGACAAAAGTACATAAGTGCTAGCCTGTTGGGACAAATGAGAGAAATCCCAGAGGGTGGTGATGACAGCTCACTCTCAGCCGTTGTACTCTTGGGAAAATTGGAGTTTGGGCTTCTATCAAATTCTCAGTTCTAGAACTAGAACTAGAAAAAAAAATTAGCAGGCATCTTGTCCAGCATCCACATTTTATGTATGAGAAAGCTAAGTCATAGTGATGTTAAATGTTTCCTCTAAGGTCCAACAGCTGGTTAGCAGGCTTGGTATGATGATTTTTCTACTGAACCAGGGTGCCTGTAGGGGAAGTCCTTGACCCAGATGGCTGCTACCAGAGCTGGGGTAGTGACGGTATTAGTAGTTAACCAGTCAACCCAACTTCCTGTGGTGTGGGTTCTGTTTCTGCCCAAGGTTAGGGGAAAAACAGAAGAAAAATCCCTCATCACCCTCCGCTAGGATAGGGGGAATGTGCTACCCCGTAGGGACAAGTGCCAATGAAGTCTTCTTCATATCGTTGAGTGTGCCAGGCCAGGACGTGATATCTTCAGAGCCAGCACTAGCAACCTAGGTAGCTCAGGTTCTCATTGGTTTTCTTTCTTAGCCAAATCTCTGTTTGTTATCTGTATGCTGCAGCAACAGCATCTTACCCTGATGTTTATGGTCATTTCTTGGACTTCTGTGTTCCACCCTGCTCACTTTTATCAGACAAATGACTTTGGGAGGTCACAGCTAAAGAGAGAGAGTTTGGCTTCATAGACATATTTACCCTGGTAAGAAATACTTCATTCAAGGTCAGAGGACCTGGCTAGCCAGCCTGGCACCACCCCAAATTAGAGTAGAGCCCCTTCTTGGTCCTACTATGAGCTCAAAAAGTCAGAGTCTCTATAAATAGCACAGAAAAGGATAAGAGGCACAGCTTCTTTCTGGCACCAACTTACTGTGTGACCCTAAGCCAATGTATCTGTCTCTCTGTCCTTAATCTTTCTATTCTAAAGGAGAAATGTGTCTGCCTTTGTGAACTATTTAAAGATGAATGAATCACTTTGGGTACTGTTTTCTTTCTTGAGACCTGGAGCTGGATCTAAGAATGAATCTGTGTCCTGGTATCCCTGGGACATTGCCCTTCCTAGGGTACAATACTTTTCAGTGATTATCGAGTGTCATTTCTCTCCCAGGCCCAGAGCCGCAGCTACAATGTACACCCATGCAACTAGAGCCGAAGAGTGGCTTTCCCCAGATTGGGGGTCAACTTTCTTCCCTCCCACTTCAGGGACTGGTTACTATGCTTTCTTCTTTGCAAGCTTTCACTACCTCAACAAATTCCCCTCTTCTGCCTGGAAACACCCATGGCTAGGACTGATGGCCTATACCTTTGCAGGCAGAGTGAGTTTCATGCCAGCTGCTGGGGTGCTTTGTAGAGGAGGTGTTTGTGTCTGTGTTTAAACACATTAGGAAGGTGGCTGGCATCACCTGGACTCCTACTCAGTGAGCAGCACTATCTCTGCTGCTCTTCTAGAAGCCCTAATTCTTGGGGCATCTGGAGTCTGACTCAGAAAGCTGCGGACTCCCTTGGAACCAGGACCAATTCCTCCTGTTTATGTTTCAAATCTCACTTCCCCTTTGGTCTTGGAGTTCTGATTTTTCTCCCCAGAATCATGTTCCTGCAAGACTGATTGTTGGGTTTTTATGCCATAGAGTAGTTGCTCCTACAGCCTAGAAGTTGTATTTAAACCTTGGAGAAGTAGCTGCCTTTCCTCATCTCCCTACATTGGACATCTCGGTGCCGAGTTAAGACACAAGGATGGTACATGCTTTATCAGCCTTGGGCATATGTTGTCAGAAATATTATCAGTGCTGCCCAAGTCCTCTATTGCTGGCCCTTTTTCCCACTCAGGGTAGCAGTTAGAGATCCTGTTGAGTCAAGAAGAGCCCAAGAGCTCAGATCTTCAGCCCCTATATCTCAGCTCATGTATCTTTGGTAGCTTTGCCCCTGGGCTCCCGTGGCACCTTGTATATACTGATCGCCACACCCCGCTACCTGTAATGCAATTGTGTGTTCGTTTTTCTGTTTCCCTCTCCAGACTTCAGGTTTCTGAGAGTAGGAACTGCTTTATTCACTTCCTGATTCCCAGTACTCAGTTGTTTTGGGCACAAAGTGGGTGTTCACTGAATTTTTTTTTTCCATGGCAAGTAAGAGAGTAAAGCTCAGTGGGTAAAAGCTTAATGTCCTTCCACTCTCCCTCCCTCACAGACACTGGTCTGTTAGGATGCAGCACAGCCTTAGGTACTTGAACATTCTTGGTGGTAAGGTGTAATTGTCCATGCGTCCTCTGGCCTGGCACCCTCCCCTCAAGCCAGGCAGAAAAAAATGGCAGCCATCCCCACCCCCAGCATTACTGTCAGAGCCACATATGATTATTGTCTATAGCATCTGGATTTTTTTTCACTTCCACTGAAGCATATATGGACCCCCATCTAGGTCTTCCTAGGCCTGTCCAATTGGAGAGTCATATTCTTCATGATGTCCACTCCCCCATCCAATACCATTGTACTGGAGTTCCTAGGGCACTCAGAATTGCCCCAGAACATCTGAAGCACCATATCTTGTAATCTGGCTCAGAAGCCTCCAGGAGTAACTAGGCATCAAATCTGGCAAAAATCCATTGGGTGGCAAAGGCCCTTCCTGCTACCCAACTTCCCCAACTACACATGCTTTCAAATACCTCCAGATCCCACCTCCTCTCTGTACCTTCCCCATAGGCTAGGAAAGCTTCAATAAGCAAAATGGTCAGATTCATTTATAAAAACAACAACAGCAAAAATCCAAAACACCAAAAAATGAAGACTAAAGCCATACCCTTTGTGGTGCAGGTCACATGCCTGCCTACCTGCTCTGCTTGCCTTGTACCAAGAAGAAAATTGTAAACATAAAGCAACTGTTGAAAAGAATAAAAGAAAACATAGAATGCCTCTCAGAATCTTGATAAGAGAATATACATCAGGCCAGTCATTCAAAACCATGAGTTTGAATGTTTATACTGCTCTGACCCCTTATGGACTTTCTTTCCTCATATATAACCTGGGAAAACCGGAACTATTGATGGCCTGAGGAAGATGCTTAAAGGGCTGGCCCCAGGCATTGGCAATGAAAGAGCTGTGGGTTTCTTTTTTTTTTTTTTTTTTCCAAGTTGTGGAAATGTAATTTTTTTTGTTTGTTTGTTGTTTTAATTAGTTACACATGACAGTACAATGATCTTGACATATCATACAGAGCTGTGGATTTCTAATGGGACAGTGCCATCCATTCCAGATCACCAGCATGCACAGATCTTGGGAGTGAGGGAGGAACCCTGCTTTAGGTCTAGTAGGCTATAACTTCTAGGATTTCATCCAGAAATAAGGAGAGTAAGTTCTAAGAAACTAACTAGAGGTGGAAACCTCTCTCTCTAACTTCCCTCTGTGTAGACAGGGCTTTTTGGTTTTGGTTTTTGTTTTTTCCCCTGTGCTGGGGATTGAATCCAGGGCCTCACTCATACTAAGCAAGCACTCTGTGGTGAGCTACACGCCCCAGCCCAAGTACAGGGTTTTGATTCCCTTCAGAAAGTCACTGTACACTGTTGCTTTCAAAAGAAGAGGGAGAGAGATTCCAAGGAGGAGGTGTGGACTCTTGAGACTGCTTCATTCGAGTCTTGTAGATTGGACTTTGGAATATGGAGATAGAAGAGGCCAGTGCTTTCTCTTGGAGGCTGCTCAGGCTGGTGGGTCTGCATGGTTATATTGTGTTTTTCCTTTTCAGGATGCCATTCTAGAAACTTTCCTCTGAGCCACCTTCTAGGCCCTGCTGGCACCCTGTCACCTCCCGGTGCTATCTTCCTTCCCCTG